AATATTTGTATTTCATGACAAAAACTCTATAGCGTAAACGAGTTTAAAATTTAAAAAACCTACTTAAATGGTTTCAGCAGCATATCCTGTTGCCTGTTATGTATTTTCCTTCTCTTTTACATTCTTTATTTTAACACAAAGTCACGAAAACAGTAGTTTAAATAGTATAAATTTGTGCCGCCATTTTGTTTATTTATGTACGTAGCCGGTCTGGGCGGGCAACAATTTTTCACTTATTGCCCGGGCGGGATACATTGCATTTATCTAAAGCCACGTTACTTCAAATCAGCCAATCACGTTTGGTGTTCACACTAGCTATATAACAATATATGATTACTCATTGTAGCTGTTAAGTTATTTTCCATACTAATGAATTTAGGTAAGATTAATTGTCTTGCAAGTTGGTTGTTCTGACAAAATTATCCAGCCAATATCCAGTACATTTATTCTTCATTCTTGTATTAATCTCTAAAGAAAAATATTTATGTTAGAAAGCAAAATGACAATGTAATATTGTAATGAGGCTCGGGAGGGTGAGGATTCTTTTATTTGAAAATGTTTGTAAAAATTTTGTTTAATTAACTCTAATGTGTAAAACCAAAATGTATAAGTATTTTAACTGATAACATCTTCAACCTTTGCTCTATTAAACACTACATTTGATGACAGCTTTATAGTTGGACTGTTGTTTTGAACAGAGTTATGGAATCAATATACATAAATACAGGACCAGGATTTAATTCAATATCTCCTGAGAATGTTTTCACTGTTTAAAATATTACAGAAGTCACAGAAGGATTGTTTTTAATACTGTATAAATCTTTTTGTGAACTATGTTGACAAATGGCTTAAAATATCCTCGAAAATATCAAATATTTTAACAGTGTAATATATTAATAAAAAATTACAGAGTGCATTCCATGTAAACTCTACGCCGAAGATACGGCAATATTAACTATAGATAGTATAGTAAATATTTGCCGAACTGGCGAACTCATGTATTATAAAACTTATAAAATATGTGGGACATATATTTGCACAAATTTGGTATTTAAATATATATGTGTTATTTGACTACTTACCAGATGAGGATAAGATTCCATGTTGATAAATAACTTCGGAATAATATCGCAAGTATATAGAATGGCGAGAAAAGTCAGAAAACAAGACAGCCAATTCAAGATATCAATTTAAAATTGATAAAAATATCAAGATATTTTTGAAAGAATATAAAACACGATTTATACACGAGGCCTGACGAGGCTAAAGTATGCCCGTTCGCAGGTTAGATCAGCGGGCACGATGTAAACAATTGATGTAAACGAATCGCTGATTGGCTTAAATTGGCATAAAATGGCTTAAAATATATAAGCTCGTCGCTGAATGGCTATATGTGATAACATACGGTACGGTAACAGTGCGGTACGGTCACGTTTGCGATAGCAATATATCTGCTTCGCAGATACAAAAACAAGAAACTGAAAAATAAGTTACACTACAACTTAAAGAGTTCTTTCATTTAAGAAAATAAGAAATTTAATGTCATATGCACTTTAACAATTATTCGCCGAAGGCAAGGTGATTATGGGGGAATATTCGCCGAGACGAAGTCGAGGTGAATATCCCCCGATAATAACAGAGCATGAGGCGAATAATTGTTTTAGTATTTTTGCACAAGTTTTTCTGTGTTTTTCTGGTCTGAATTCATTTTAATTTCGCTTATTTCTTTATCACTAACTTCAACAAAACGGCTAGCCGACATTTTGAAAATTTCGATTTTGTTAGGGAAAGTACATTTATTATGCCGAGGGGGGGAGATGAAGATATTAAGGGG